GAGCCACCCACACCTGGGTGAGAGGTTGGACAGCGGATTCTGAGCCACCCACACCTGGGTGAGAGGTTGGACAGCAGATTCTGAGCCACCCACACCTGGGTGAGAGGTTGGACAGCAGATTCTGTGAGCCACCCACACCTGGGTGAGAGGTTGGACAGTGGATTCTGAGCCACCCACACCCGGGTGAGAGGTTGGACAGCGGATTCTGAGCCACCCACACCTGGGTGAGAGGTTGGACAGTGGATTCTGAGCCACCCACACCTGGGTGAGAAGTTGGACAGCGGATTCTGAGCCACCCACACCTGGGTGAGAGGTTGGACAGAGGATTCTGAGCCACCCACACCTGGGTGAGAGGTTGGACAGAGGATTTTGTGAGCCACCCACACCTGGGTGAGAGGTTGGACAGCGGATTCTGAACCACCCACACCNTGTGAGCCACCCACACCTGGGTGAGAGGTTGGACAGCGGATTCTGAACCACCCACACCTGTGGAAGAGGCTGGACAGCGGATTCTGTGAGCCACCCACACCTGGGTGAGAGGTTGGACAGTGGATTCTGAGCCACCCACACCTGGGTGAGAGGTTGGACAGCGGATTCTGTGAGCTGAGAATAGGATCTGTGTTTAGCACGGAAAGAATTTCCTACCGAGGTTGTTTGGCGTGGAAAGCAAGATGGAAAGGAGAAGAAGAAAGAAAAGAAAGTAAGAAAGAAAGAAGAAAAGGAGAAAAGAAGAGAAAATAAGAAAGGAAGATAAGAGAAAATAAGAGAGAAAGATAAGAGAAAATAAGAGAGAAAGATAAGAGAAAATAAGAAGAGAAAATGAGAGGAGGGAAGGGAAGGGAAGGGAAGGGAAGGGAAGGGAAGGGAAGGGAAGGGAAGGGAAGGGAAGGGAAGGGAAGGGAAGGGAAGAGGGAAGGGAAGAGAAGGGGAAGAGAAAGAAGAGAAGAGAAAGAGAGAAGAGAAGAGAAGAGAAGAGAAGAGAAGAGAAGAGAAGAGAAGAGAAGAGAAGAGAAGAGAAGAGAAGAGAGAACGAAAAGATAAAATAAGAAAGAGAAAAGATAAAATAAGAAAGAGAAAAGATAAAATAAGAAAGAAAAGAAGATAAAATAGGAAAGAAAGAAGATAAGAAAGAAGAGAAAAGAAGAAAGAAGAGAAAATAAGAAAGAAAGAAGAGAAAGTAAGGAAGAGAAAGTAAAGAAAGCAAGAAGAAGAGAAAGTAAAGAAAGAAGAGAAAGTAAAGAAAGAAGAAGAGAAAGTAAGAGAAAATAAGGAAGAGAAGAGAAAAATGAAAAAGAGAAACCTGCAGCTGCCCACTGCAATGAGCACTTCGTTTGTCTTTCCTGACCAGTGAGTAAAGTGTCAGCTTAGGAGTTTTGTGAGAATGCCTGAGAAGCATGCATGCTATGGCAAAACGGGGTTTGAAGCCTTCTGAAAAGCGAGGGTTGCTTTGTACTGTGACCACCTCAGCCACAACACTGCTGCAGGCACAAACAGGAGCTGCTCTCACAGCCAGCACAGCTGCAACTGCCAGCTGCTGGAATTATGTAGAACGGTCTGGTTTTGACCCCAATTCTACTTTTGCAGGATGTGAGGAGCTGGGACAAAGCTGTGGCTTTCCCCCTCAATTCCCTGAGTAAAACTGAAGCACTTCTGTTACTGCAGCTGGGGGTGGAAGAAAAATGATGAGTCAGGCACCAGAACAGACACAGGAAGTTCAAAACTATTATTTTTCACATGAAGCTGCGAAAGCCTCCAGCACTGGCTGAAAATTAACTCCACCTACTGTAAAAAAACAATTTAAAAATGAGTCTTCCTGGTTCAGCAGGCAGAAAGGAAGTGAAAACTTTGCACCAGAACCAATCAGATTTCCTGACTCCAAGGCACAAATACAAATCTTTGTGTTGCCAGGTGCCACAAGACAAATATTTTAGAAGATGGGGGGGGTGTTCTACCAGACAGGAGGAATAAGGAAATGAAGAAGTCCCTGGAAATGTGGATTTTTGGGGAATAGCCTCCTAGGCTTGTCACCTGAACGGGCGGCAATGGGGGCAGCCAGACCTGTGTGCCCCAAAAGAGAATGAGTGTCCTGAAATCCCAGACCACCCCAATTTGCAAAGGGTGAAAGGGTGGCACAGGGGCAGCCAGACCTGTGTGCCCTGAAAGAAAATCAGCGTCCTGAAATCCCAGCCCATCCCAGTTTGCCAAGAGCAAAAGGTGGCAGAGGGGCAGCCAGACCTGTGTGCCCTAAAAGAAAATGAGTGTCCCAAGATCCCAAACCATCCTAGTTTGCAAAGAACAAAGGGTGAAAGGGTGGCACAATGGCACAGGGGTAGCCAGACCAGACCTGTGTGCCCCACGAGAGAAGGAGTGCCTGCAATCCCACCCATCCCAGTTTGCAAAGAGCACAGGGTGGCACGGGGACACTCAGACCTGTGTGCCCCTGGCTCCCAAAAAGAGAATGAGTGCCTGCAATCCCACCCATCCCAGTTTGCAAAGAGCACAGGGTGGCACGGGGGCAGTCAGACCTGTGTGCCCCAAATCCCACCCATCCCAGTTTTCCCAGAGCACAGGGTGGCACGGGGACACTCAGACCTGTGTGCCCCAAAAAGAGGAGTGCCTGCAATCCCACCCATCCCAGTTTTCCCAGAGCACAGGGTGGCACGGGGGCACTCAGACCTGTGTGCCCCA